CTCGGCTGACAGATCGGCGGCGGCTGCTATTCTCGATCGAAGTCGCAGAATGTCGTCGTTGTCTATGACGACTGACAGCTGTATGAGTCGACTGGATGACGGCAGCTGTTTCCCTTGTTTCAATACTGCGATTTCGTCGCCGAACGCCTCTTGTTGTATCGCGCGAATCCATAGCCGTCGCGCGCGATCTAGGTAGTGTGTGTCTATGGGGATGAAACACACAGATGGACTATTGCTGTTCTTGATTTTCATCTTCGTCTTCTCTCTATCGACTTTCTTCGTGCGGGTCCAAGTGGGGTCGGCGCTCTCTTTCTTCTTGTTTCTCTTTCGGATGGCGGTGCAGCGTTGATTGGTCGGTCGCAGGAGGTCGATGAACTGCAACACCCGTGCTGAACTGCGAACAAGTTTCAACCAATTAGAAAAACGTGACGGATCGGGTAATGCTATAGACAACTGCGTCGCGTTCTGTAGCTTGTGTACGCGTTCTTCTCCCGTTTTCGCTTGACTATCGTCGCTTGAACTATCTTCACGCGGCCACTGTTCTTCGTTTTTGTCGAATTTCCTTTCGACCAGTTGGAGACGTCGCATTGCCGATTCATAGTTGTCCGGCGGCACAGGGTCGTCCTTCTTCCACAGTAACCCCGTCTCGTATCCTCCCGCCGGTAACGGACGAGTTTTTTCTTCTAAAATGCGTAGGGCGCGACGTTCCTCTTCATTGTAAGACCTCTTCGGTGCGATCCCCAGCGATTCGAGCGCGAAATGTTGCTTCATCATTTCTTCCATCGATTGTTCCTCTTCATGTGTCGTCACTATGTGGCTGATTCTGTGCACCTGCTGTCTTGTCCTGCCGCGACTCGTACCGTGCAGTACCCATCCCAGGTCGGTGAGTGATGCGACCGGCTGCGTGTCGGATCCTCTTCTGACTTCGTGGGCCAGCAGTAGGTGCCAGTTGTCTTGCCCCAGCAGTACCGTCGGTTTGCCCTCTTCGTAGACCAATTCCCTCTCTATGTCCCGCAGATGTGGACAGCCCTTGATGACGCTGCGTGGTACCGACTGCGGTGATAACTGCAGTCTGTCCATCGTCCGTGCCCCCACTGTGTATTCTTGTGAATTCCGCCCGCGGATCTTGAAGTGAACACGCGTCGATTGAGCTGCGTTGATCCGTGCCCCGGCCACACCTTCCATGTAGAATGGTGCGGGGGGACCCGTAGCACCGATTCGCTCCGCCACCGTCGTCTCGATGATGGTGCAAGTCGACCCGTCGTCCAGTAGCGCGTAGGTGTCGCACGTTCCCGTGGGACCGGTGACTCGTATCGGCAGGATCTTCAGGAACGCGATCTTGTCGTTTTCCCTTGCCGATGCGGTGACTGCGGCGGACTTGTCCTCGACGACGTGTGTTGTTACTTCATTCTCCGGCTGTTGTCGCGTGGTGTGCAGCAGAGGGTGATGAGTCTGCGTGCACTCATCTACTCCACATCTCTTGCTCTTGCAGGCGTGGCGAAATCTTCTCACTTTGAGGCAACGGAAACACAGCCTATGAGTCTTCGCTAGCTCCCATCTCGCCGATGTGTCCGCTTCCTTCATCGTCTTGCAGTCCGATGGAGCGTGTCCCTCTCGTCGACACATCGGGCACGGTGGTGTAGCGGGTTTCTCCTGCGTCGTGTATGTCTTCGCCGTCTTCCTAGGAGCGGACTCCCGCCGGTCTTCGGACGGTATCTCCTCGGCGGGGGCGAAGTTTCCACATCGTGCGGCGGTCCTTTGCAGGAACTGAGAGAGTGTTATGAGGTCCGGTTGTCCCTCCGGTTGGTCGTTGGCGAAATCGTAGTACTTGAAGCGTAGTACCGACGGCATCTTCTCTGTGACGTTTCTCACTATTTCTTCGTTGTAGAGGTAGTGACTCTTGTTCAGCGCTCGTATCGTGGCGACGACGTTCTGCACCTTGCTTGCGAAGAGGCAGACGTCTCTTGCGTTGTCCGAGAGTCGTGGTAGCGCGCGGAGTTTGTTCAGTTCGGCTGTGACGAGTGCTCCAGGGCGGCCGAACCTCGCGGCTAACATCTTCATTACTTCTTCTGCGGTCGTAGACCCGACGAATAGGGAGCGTGCCGCGTCCTTTGCGGCCCCCTTCAAGCTTCTGCGCAGTCTTGCTAGGTTCTCTTGTTCTGTGAGTTGACTTGCGCTCTCTTCATAGGCCATCTTCCATGGTAACCACTCGCTCGACGATCCATTGAAGACTGGCAACTCGGTGACTCTTGACGCTGTGGAGGGCAGTATGTTGCGAGCGGCCATCTGCATGGCGATCGCAAACTCATTACAATCGATGCCCACCTTCAGCACCGGTTCTTCTTTCTTCATCGACTGCATCGCTGCTGCTATCGTAGGAATGGCGGCATGTGGGTCAACGTGGCGTGCGTGGTCCCGGTGAAGTGCGTCGCTGCTCGGCTGTGGCGGCGGCGCTCTCGAATCCTCTTCAACGGGTCTCGATGGGACGAACCCCTGACGCTTGCCGGTGACTTCTTCTATCTCTGGTACATGCGGCTCCATTGTGAGTGCCAGCGTGCTTCGACGAACCCAATCCGACGTTCGTTCTCTTCTGACGGTAGCGTCGTCGTCTTCTACTTCCTCGTCGTCCTCTGATTCGGCTTCCAGGGCGGCGACACGTGCAGCAGCCAATTCCACCTCCTTTCGAAGTAGCTCCTCCCGTGCCTTGGCCAGAGCCTTCTTCTTCTGCGAGGCCGTGGTGCGAACCGTGCGTGCCGTGCCGTGCTTCGGTTCCTTCTTCCTTGCTGTCTCCTCTGTCGTTCCTGTGGCTTCGGTAGTCTCCGTGGCTCCTGTGGTCGTCGTATCGCCGGACGTGTTCGTAGTCGATGTGGTGGCGGCGGTAGACGACGTGGCAGCGACAGATGACATTCTGACAGCCGCAGACGACGTGGTGGCAGCAACGGACGGCGTGGCAGCGACGGACAGCGTTCCGGCGGCCGTAGTCGACGTGGTGGCGGCGGACGTTGTGGCTTCGGTGACGGCGATTTTTTGCTGCGACGACTTCATGTTTCTCGTAGTCGGCATTTCAGCGATCCGGCTTCAGAATGGTCTTCCTCCAGCGATCCGGCTTCTTGATGTACCAACGGTGTTCCTCCAGCAATCCGGCTCGAAGGACCACGATGTACGGTGTGGACTGCCGTTCGGTGAGCGTGGACTGTAGGGGCGTTGGTTCAGGCTGGAGTGAAACACAGCGATTACTATTCTGAAGCCTCCGGTACCGTCTGAAGAGAGTATTTTTCTTCTTGTCCTATTTCTTCTCGAGTGTAGTGCGTCGCTGCCCGGAAGCGAATGCCGCTCGACTTTTTTTTTTTTTTTTTTTTTTTTTTTTTCTAACTGTAAGTGTTGTTGGCCGCAGATGGCCTTTACAACTTCACCGAACGCGTGTGTGCAGGGGCGAGTGCGGATGGCACTCCAAGCCCGCGAGAGGGGAGCGACAGAGGTGTCGACTCTTTCTAATGGACTGCGGCGTGCGCCCGAGGGCGCCTAAGTGGCTCGAACCTCGGCTCGGGCCGCCGCACTTCGACCCCCGTCGAGGGACGGTGGGTCGGTGGAGCGATCGGGGGAACGAGGAGACGCCGCGGACGGCGCACTTTCGGGCGTATATCGAATATTCCGCGAGCGCGAACCGGGTGTTATGAGTCTTCGCCCCCGCCGGCGGGGGCGAAGACTCATAACATATCCTTCTTCGTTTCGAATACCTAAAACTCAAATTTCTCTTCAAAGTTTTTTCAGTTTCCAATAACCCACTCATACTCAAATTATTAAATTGCCCCATTTCTATGTTTTTGAATAAAACTATTGTCAATGATTTGAATTTACGAGATGAATATAACATCTATAGTAGTAAGATACTTCCTTGTTATAATGGCCTTTATGAGAGTAAGTTCTGTAAAATCAAAATTGTTATACGTAAAGACATAAAAGAAAAGCACGATATGTATGAGACTTTATCAGAATTTATTGACTACAGGCAGATATATACAGATGGTTCCAAAAATGCACTTAGCACTTCAGTGGCTTTTTACGATTTGTCAAATAGATTTGGTCACGGTTATAAAATTTCAACTTTGGCTAGTATTTACACAGCAGAAGCAAAAGCTATATTTTTAGCATTAGAATACATAGAAAAACAGGTACTATATTCGAAATGGATTATAATTACAGATAGTATGAGTGTTCTTATGGCATTAAAAAATAACACATTCATTTCATCATCAAACTACTTAATTCAAGAAATTCGTAATAAATATTATCATCTCTGTAATATATATGGAAAAGATATTATCTTCATCTGGACCCCTTCACATATTGGAGTGTTTGGGAATGAACAAGTAGACACTTTGGCTAAAATTATTAATTCAAGTGCTGCTCGTGTTCAAGATTTACCCCTTTGTTACTCAGATTGTAGTATTGGAATACATAAAATCGTTACAACTAAATGGGAGGAGCATTGGACTCAAATATTACAGACTAAAGGCAAATGGTACCGCAAAATTAATTGGCGTATTGGAAAACCGTGGTTCTGCAAAGGAAAGGACACAAACAGAAAATTTTACACCAATATTTGTAGATTACGAATCGGCCACGGACATTTCAACGAACACCTGCACCGAATGGGCATGATCGCTTCCCCATCATGCACATGGTGTAACTCAAATACAGCCCAAACTCTACATCACCTTTTTTTTGATTGCTCTGAATTTGTCATTCAAAGACACATTATGTTTGACGAACTTAGGATTATCTTCAAAAAACCCGAAAATATCCCGCACTCAATCCCGCTTCTCTTAAGATTTCCTTCTTGTTTCAAAGCTATTTTCACTTATATTACTACAACATTCAAGGAGCTATAAGAATACTTTTATTGAATTGCAAGACAATGATTTTTTATAATTATTTATTTTTAATTTGATAAATCCACTGGTTTAAGAAAACTCAAGAAAAGATATTTATGAAAATGTACTTACCGGATTTGACAAATGAAATATTGAAGATTATGACAATAATTGAAGCGACATTAGAAAAATAAAATTCCAGACAAATTATCTTTTTGAAGACTAGGCAGCATGGTCTCCGACCTTAGCCTGTTCCAAACGGAACAAACGTACTAAAAAAAAAAAAATTAAAAATTTAGCAAATTATTAAAATAATGTTGCAGCTATATAAACAATGAGCCTCCGCGATAGATTAAAACCCATTTTAAAAGTATTAAAAACTGCATCATTATGGGGCAGCGGTGGATTTTTCGTTGCTTATCATATTCGTCAAACCTGCAAGTCAATAGATAGTATTGTAAATACAAGGGTGCTTGAAAGCGAAAAGAAACAAACCGCCGAATATATTTACATTGACGATCCAACCTATACACTTACTTTAAAAATGGAACAGGATCGACAATCCAGACAGTCGGTGGGCTTAGCGCGTATATGGAAAAGTTTGAAGCATTCTTTAGCATGGAAATTACTGTGGTTGTGTAGACATGGTAACAAGGAGCAGAGAAACATAGCTCTAGAGCAACTTGCCGCATTTAAGAACAACAAAAGTTGGGATTGTTTAAAACTAGCTCAGGCCTTAGACAAAAATACTGCTGTATTGCTTGCACGAACGCGTGGTGCTGATCTTCGTTATTTTTTACCGCCGCCGATTCATGTACGACGAGCCGCTTTAACCACAGAATTACTGTCATTCAAATTAAAGGATATTATTGTAGCCGCGCAAAGTGTCAATCCACACAGCTGCATACAACATTTTCTTTCTAAATATTTTACTAATGTGCAAGAACAAGCTATGGAGGCTGACAGTATACCTATAAAGCCGGATAGAATAACTGAAAGAGATTTGTGTTTATTGTGCCTTGATGCACTCCACCATCACATTAGTTTGTTTCATACAAAAGAATATAATGATGATATTTCTGCAAAAACTGTAATAAATTTAGGTCTATTGCCAAAATTAGCCGAGCTTATGTTGAGATATCGTAATGATGTGGAACTAGATATGGCTATATTGAGAATATTTACTGTTTTAAGTGTCCACTCAGGTTTACTTACAGATTTTTTTCAAAATGGATTGATTGGAGAATTATCTCGATTATTGAGATCAAAAGACGTCCGTCTATCGAGTTCCGCTGCAGTTTGTTTAGCTAATTTATCAGGTGAATACTGTTACCGGCCAGGATTGTATCTTTTACATCCAATATATAGAACAACTACTCCACCTTCCTGTGATACTCTATTGGTGCATGGCCTTAGAGGTGGAGTATTTGTGACATGGCGGCAAAGGGACAGAAAGTGTGCTGAGCCTATTGGAATAATAGATGTAACTATATCTGACATAGATTGTGATCCATGTGAAGAAAAAGGTACTGATAAAAATAAGTACTTAGATCCAGATTTGCAACAAGTGATGGAAGATCTTATAGAATTAGAAGATGAAGCTTTATTGTCTGAAGTGGAGGTTGTACTTCATGATCTCCCTATAGAGGCTAAAAGAGAAAAAGCTGGCTCTTATGATTATGCAGCTAATAAAAAGAGGTTAGCATTAATACAAGAGGAACAAGACCGTTGCAATTATACATTTTGTTGGCCAAAAGATTGGCTCCCGAAGGATTGTGACAATTTGAGGATAATGGGTGTAAATTATTGGAGTACTTTATCTGAGTGGCTTGAGAGATGCCCACTTCAAACAGCAGATATAGCGGTGCGAGCTGCTGATTTAGCTCCTGCCTTAATTGATGCTGGTGTGGGGAGTAAGAATACTCCAGTGGTTTGGTTAACTCATTCTATGGGTGGTTTAATTGCAAAACAAGTCCTTATAGAATCAGCACAAAGTAAAGATCCTGAATCTCAAAATTTGTCCATCAATACTAAAGCTATATTCTTTTATAGCACACCACACAAAGGCAGTTCTTTAGCCACAATGCCACGAGCTGCTGCTGCTGTTCTATGGCCTTCTAGTGATGTGAGACAGTTGCAAGTTAACTCACCAGTTTTACTTGACTTGCATAATACATTCATTAAATTTGCTGACATGTTTGGCTGGGAAACCATAAGTTTTGCTGAGACTATGCCTACTTTAGTGACTGCATTCAAAGTTCCTATACGTTTTGTAGAGTCTGTTTCAGCAGATTTGGGTCGGGGTGCGTTTTATCAACTGCCATTGGATCATTTATCAATATGTAAACCGGCTACTCGGCAGTCAGTTTTGTACACCACATTATTAGAAGTGATACAGAAAGTGACTGCTAATGATGTTGAAATGGTATCATATTCAAATCCATTTGTGCAATATTTAGTTGAACTCCTATGGAGGTTGCTAAGAAGCAAAGCAAAGCGAATGCTGGATACCTTTGATGATACACAGAGCAATGAGGGTCTGCGTTGGTTTGAACAAATTCTCTTAGAATCGTTCACTGACGACTTTACTGATTGATTTATCAAAATTATATAATAAACATATTTATTTTTTCTCAATAAGGTTAAAATATGGCCACATTAGGTAATTTATTAAAATACACTCAGTATTATTTTCATTGAAATGATTTATTTTTATTTTAGTAGGATGAGAAGAATTTTTTTGGTTTTGTTGTTTTATCTACCTACCTACCACCATACTTGGGGTAAATACTAAGTATGGTACAGAGTGGACTGTGAATTATGCAGTTACATAGTAATTAATTTATTAGAGATTAGGTATATGATATTTTAATAGGTCAGAGTGAATCTTCTTTCTGTAATATGATGAATCTTTATAAACTTTTTATATTTAACAAAATGGTGCTAATACTTATCTTTCTTTATACTATTTTTTATTTTATTTTTCAATCTATATTTCTGTTTAATAATATATTAATGTTGAAAACAATTATCTAAAGTATGTAGTAATGTTGCTGCTAATTCTAAATGAATAATTTTGACATTTTTTTTTTGTAATTATGTATAACTTGTGTTTATTTTTTTGTTTCTATTTTGTTTGTATAGTTTATCATTTAAATGTAAGTTAATATAGCAAGAACTGTATTGATTTTGCTATAATTTTGCTGTATATGTCTTGAGTAGACATTACTAGATATATTGACTTGATAATTATGTATATATGTTAAAGACATTACAAATATTTATATACTTAATAATTATAATGGAGATTAATAATAGGAGGAAATATAATAATAATGATAATTATTATTATAAAAATTGTTCTTTTTCTATATTAGTTATCGTAAAAGCGACATCTGTGTAATAAATATCTCATTATTGAGCTGTGTTAGATCTATATCTGTTGGCTACAACACTGACTATTAGTTTAGTAGGTAATGAATAGATGACGCTAATTTCTGAAACATATTTACCTTACATATTTAGAAAGAGGGAATTATATATTTTTCTAGATACCTAGGTGGGCAGCTGTCTAGTATCTAGACATCTGCCAAAAGTAGCCTAGACTCTAGACTATTTTTGTAAAATATCGTACTCAGAAATGAACACCAAACGATCTATTGTTTTTCGTTAATAAAACTAGATGGCGCTACCTATATTAATTTGTGAAAAAAATATAATAATGTACATCAATAGCTTTTTTCATACCTATACCATATAGAATGGATTATGTATTAATACAAACTAAACAGACATATACAACGTTGTATTGAAAAATGCAAATTACTGCTATATTATATAATGTGAAACTTACAAAAATCATTTGATACTTGTTATAATTTTATGACCATTAACAATAAAGTATGTTGAATATTTTTGTCATTGTATTATTTAATTAAATAAGTTTAAAGCTTATTTTAAGCGGAAAATGCATGAATTTTCTGATTCCCGAAATTTTCTCGTGACTAACTTGTCATTTTATTAATTGATGAAAATGGAATGGTAATCCTTGCTGTAATGATTTACGCCGGAGGTATATCAATGATGAGGGAGAGGATAAGTTGAATCAATTGGTCTATTTTGAGCATTGTGGCATTTGAGTATTGTGGCAAATTTGTCTAGCAATAAACCACGACGATTTCCAGAAGAAGCATATGGAGATTGACCTGACAGAGCATTTATATTGTAACAAAGCATTACTATCTCTTCTTGATTTAGATACCTACTACCTCTGTAGCGTCAAATAATTGAAATTTTTAGTAATATAATTATCTAATTAGGTACTGAATAGGTATGTTTATTCAGAACTTACCTACAATTTACCTAACAATAACAATGAAAGGGAATATAATGACTGTAAGTACTTTCAGTAGGGCATAATTATGATTGTTTTATTCTTACCTCATTATTCATAAAAACGTCAAATCTTTCATTAATCTATTACAACTAGGATTTTGTAATTTTTCAATTTGAAAAATATGTTTGTAGGGCGTTTAAATTTTTGTGAATAAGGAGGTTAGACTACAGCTTCAGCATTATTTTTTCATTATTTCTTTCTTCATCACCATCATCATCATCATCATATCAGCCATTAGCCTGTCCGCTGCTAACATAGGTCTCTAATTGGACGATTTTGCGAGTAGTTGGCAGGCGGGCTGGCAACTACAGTTAGGCTTTTAGTGATTTTTAAGGGACACTGCTGCCCATCCCCCAACCGTGAAGTTCTCTTATGTCACTAACAGAAAAGGAAGAGGTGGCCCATTTTATGCCGTGGCCACACGGTAATGTAAAGGCAAGACACATCATTTGTTTCTTTATACAGGTGTAATTGAAATTATTTGCATTCTACAAGTGAAACGACATTTCTTCCAAAAATACTTGTATATGGTCGCGAAAGCAATAAAAAATCTTACTTAAAAATGTGTCTCACATAAATTGAGCATGTAAACGCGTGGTGTTAGCATTACTATTACAATGGCCACAGTAGACAAAAGCAATATTAGAGATTATAGTTATCAACATATTTTTATAAAAAACAAATGTCCTGATCCGTGTGTAGAATGAAACATTCCCTTTAAAATCATTCTGTTTACTGAGTTTTCTACCAGTGAAAGTATATTAATGTTCCCTAACGGTTTCATTTTCAGTCTGTAGGTATAAACTTTGAAAAAGCAATGTCGCGTGCAATGTGAGTTAACTAGTACGTAGGTAATAGCTACAGAATTAAATTCTCAACATATGCGACATGCTACGAATTGGGTCAATGGTCCGCGTCGTACCCACACCTTATCCGCGACTTAAGCCTGAGTTCCTTTACTACCTTATTAATATAACTGTAAGTAGACTATGTCTGTCTATGAGAAATATAGAAAAAAAAACATGTCTTAATAAGAGCAACGGAAACTAAAACAATAACTTTTGGAGATTTTATCTGTCGGTCTGTATGTTTGTTCCGATATCACGCAAAAATTGTTACACCAAAATGGTTGCGGTTTTCACAGTTGCGTTCTAACACATATTACTTATAATCTGTATAAAGTTATTGTTTCATAAATTTTAATGTTTAATTACATACGAACTTGACTTTATACTCACATACTTATAAATACTAGGAAATCTTAAAAATATAAATAAATTTATATCAATGACATTGCATTAATTATCTATCGGAAGATTTATTTTTTTGCATAATAATTTTGATAATTATGTACTATAATTAATGCTACATTTTCAAGATAAATTCATCTTAAATGATTATAAATAAAACTTTCTTATACTACCATGATATTTGGCCCATGTGATGCTAGATGGTGCTTGTGCTACAAATATCATTGTTATGTGCGCATTGCCAAGTCTTAAGAAACCTTTTTTCGGCCATTTTGAAGAACTCTATGCTGTAGTCTTTAGGGAAAACCTCGGTAGGAAGATTATTCCGCAATCTGGACGTTCGTAGGAGCAAGCTCTTTTGAAACCGCACTGTGCATGTATATTTTAGTACCAGGGTGTGAAGATGAAATCCTTACTGATGGCGAAAGGCGCGATGAATAAAATTAAATTGATGTTTTCTAAAGAATAAACAATTTTTTTTTAATATGAGATATTGTTTTATATATATAAAACAATATCGCATAGTAGAAACGCCCCTTAACTTATCTAGGTCATCATTAAAAATCCTCCAACCCAATCCATTTAAGGGATTTGTTTCTCTGTTCGACGGGTCCCTTATTTTAAGGTATATTATGTAGATCCCTTATTTTATGTAGATCGCTACCTGCAGAAAATACTAAACAATTATAATTGCTTCCAGATGGATGACTCCGCTTGTTCCTTGATCTGATGTAAAATGGAATGAGGTGTTATTGAAAATGATGATAATTTGATTCTGTTTAGAGCACTCCCAGGTTAGGTGTATCTATGCATAAAAGAGATTGATTAATATGATTGATGCGATGAGTCAGTGTCTGCACCTATTACAGGTAGGGCATACATTTTATAAGTTATTTTTATTGTATGATTTTAATTAAAATACCTATTCGTCCAGATATCCATAACAATAATATAGCTTAGAATCAATAAAGTCTACATTATAGATAGTCTAGTAATTTTTTAATTAATTACATAATTAGTATAAAAAATAACCAATAAATTCGATTCAAAATTGCCAAAAATGCCACGTATATAAGATACCTGTATATAAAAGTTTAGTTAAATTAAGAATTGTCTATTAAAAATCTGTTAAAAGTTAATAATTACAAAAAAAGGTTTTTTTCGCATTACATCATTAGACCTTGACTCGTATTCCTCATTGCTGTGGTTTGACTTTGACCGAATATTGGGTTCAAATGAATTCAAACGAGAATGGTTGATCATGAAGAACTTCCCATTATTATCAAACGTGACTTTGACCTTATTCTGATTCAATTTTGTGGCAATACAGGTGCTTAGGGAAAACATATTACAGCAACCCCCCGTAATTGGGTCAAGGGTAAGAAGATGACGATCGATAGGCAGTTACGAGAATAACGAGTCAGAATCCACGAACTCTGCAAGTGTTATAGAATTCGTACATACCAGAAATATATTTACATTCTAGTTTTTATATTAATAAGAGTATTGAAATAAGATTTATTAGTTATTTAGTTTTTCATTATTCACTTTTGAAAAAACGTTTCTTTCAAAATAAATAGAATTAAAACATCTATATTAACAAGATAAGTCTCTGTTTCTACATGATACCTAAATTTTCTTATTTCTGTCAATTTCTCTGGATTTCACATTATTTTTAATAGATAAAATTGATTGTAATCTTGCTTGCGATATTGATTTATGCTGAAGGGGTATCAATGGAAGATGAAAAGTCTGTTACTCTCAGTTTCTAACAATCCTTTCCCTAAATTGATATTTAGATACCTAAGTAGTGTGGTAAATATTCCAGATACTATCTACTAGGTAGGTAGGTGTCTGTTAAAACTTTTTGGGAACAGTTGAAATTTAGCAGTGTTGCGGTGTGTTTATATAGACATCGATCCATCCTCTCCAGATTGCAGATGGCGTTTCAAACATAAATCTTTCCATTATTATTTGACACCCTAAGGGAGCCCCACGACCATCATTACACCGTCGTTTCAATTAGACGAACGCAATAATGCACACCGGCGCACGTTTCACAATAGCGTCGAAGATTCACGTAGCCAGCATAACTTGATCCGCGAATCCCAAAATTATGACTTTGTTTCCAAGGAAAATATGGGGATTGAGAGAGCTCAGGCCGAGGCGGACGGACGTGTAAAGTAAAGTCGGCTTTTCTTTACCGGATAATATATAACTATATGATCTCGAAACATATACTATATCCCCGCGATTGATCTTTTACACTACTTTTAAATCTTTTTATTCAGTTGCGGCATTATATTATTGTGATAAAAGAGTGCCCGGGATCCGGCTGAGTATATCATGTAGGAATATCATGTAGGAATAGGTATCATGTCTTTGTGAACTGAGTCAAACTAAAGTACCATGATTAACCATGAGCCTCAATTTAAAATTTCACGTGTCTAACTTCAAACCTCAAGAAATTTCATATTTTAATTCCCATTCAACCCCCTTAGGGGTTGAATTTTCGAAATTTATTTCTTACATGCTCATTTAGTGTATATATAAAAAACCTATATACTAACTTTTAAGATTCTAGATTCAGCGGTTTCAGCTATGCGTTGATATATGGGTCAGTCAGTTAATCACTCGGCGTCCTCTTTTATATCTATGGATGTATAGATTTTCCCGTATAATAATGATATTTTGTAAAATATAAGTTTTTTTTTCTATGCAACTTAGAATGGCAAACAAGCTAACGGCCTACTTGATGGAAAGTGGCAACCGTTGCCTATAGACATGAGCAGTACCATGGACATAACAGAGTATACTATTTCGCCCATGATATCCCCATGCGTTGCCATTCCTGAGGGCTCAGGTGTTATTCCTCTGTACCCAGTTAATTCACGCAAATATAAGTACATTTAAATAAGTAAGTACAACATACATATGCAATAAGTATTAGTAGTATTTTTCTTTAGCTATTTAACCCTTAAACACTTTTAAGAGAGATAATGACCAAGGAAAAATATGTGAAAGATTTTGTGTATAAGAGCGAATCCGGTAAACCGTCGACGGGGTCAATGGAAAATGATTTACGGTACTGATCTCAATTAAGAGTATAAAGGTCACCTAAGGAGATAACTGCAAAAGGATTTAGGTAAAACTTTACTTATGGTCTCTTGACGGAATTTCATTATGCCTGCTGATTGGGTATACTATTTTAAATGAGTAATATACTATTATAATTATGAAAGTTTCTAAAGATGTTCATATGTTTGCA